CGTAGGAACTTGAGAAATATTTATTGAAATGAAATTGCTTGTGTGAGGGCCAGCAGTTGACCAAATGGAGAAGTAGCAAGCAAATATTAACAGAAAAAAAGAAATGGCTCCCCCCCATCCCTAGCCTTTAGTTCAAGAGCTTTTAAAATTTTTTTTTATAGTATATGAATATAATAGTTACATTTTACAATTGTTAAGGTAGAGTTAGACAAATCACTCTATTATCATGTTTCCCCAAACCCATGGAATCTCAGTATTTTGTGGCTTGAACAAGTCAGTGAACTGTGCTAGAAGGAGGAAAGGGATGAAAGAAGGGAAAGAAGAAAGAAGAAGGGAAGGAACACCGTACCGGGAGCTCAAGGAGATGTATGTACAACATCTCATATAATCCCATATAATCCTGTGATACTAGCCCTCTTTAGAGACAGGAAGTGGAACACTGAGGGGTCAGACAGACTGCCCTATAGTCCCACAGTCCTACAACCTGGAAGTTAGGAGGTAGGAGGCACCTAGCTTTTTTTTTTTTTTTTTAAGTTTTGTTTAATTATTATATATAGGGAGAGACTGCACATGAGTGGAGGGAGGGGCAGAAGGAGATGGGGAAGGAGAAAATCTTAAGCAGCCTCCCTGCTGAGCACAGAGGCTGACACTGGGCTTGATTCCACGACCCGAGATCATGACCTGAGCCAAAATCAAGAGCCCATTGGCCAACCGATTGAGCCACCCCAGTGCCCCTGGAGACACCTGGCTTTATGTTACTGCTTCTACTTCTGCCCTTTCCCAGATATGCTGCTTCTGTGCCCAGATTCTTGCCTGGAAGCCTGGGGTTGCTAGTCAATCTGGTTCAAGAACTCTTTCTTTTCTCTTTTTTTAAGATTTATTTATTTTAGTGGGGGAGGGGCACAGGAAGAGGGAGAGAATTCTCAAGTAGACTTCCTGCTGAACATGGAGCCCAACACGGGGCTCAGTCTCAATGATTTTAGAATCATGACCTGAGCCGAAACCAAGAGTTGGATGCTTAACCAACTGAGCTACCCAGGCACCCCTCAAGAACTCTGACAACAATGAGGGAGGGTTTAAGTTGGCTTTTACAAGACAAACTAAATATTATTATTATTATTGTTATTATTAATTATTATTATTATTTTATTATTGGGGGGAGGTAGAGAGAGAGGGAGAATCCCAAGCAGACTCCATGCCCAGTGCAGAGGCCAGTGCAGGGCTTGATCTCACAACCCTGACGTCATGACCTGAGATGATATCAAGAGTCCTATGCTTAAATGACTGAACCACCCAGGTGCCCCAAGGCAAACTAAATATTAGTTGAGCATGAATGAGCCCACACTTTTAAAATAACTATATAAAAATAGATACACAAATAAACATGTATAACTCACTGAGCTCAGATCAGGCTTCTTTTTTTTTTTTTTAAGATTTTATTTATTTATTTAACAGAGACACAGTGAGAGAGGGAACACAAGCAGGGGGAGCGGGAGAGCAAGAAGCAGGCTTCCCGCTGAGGGGAGCCTGATGTGGGGCTCAATCCTAGGACCCTGGGATCATGACCTGAGCCAAAGGCAGATGCTTAACGACTGAGCCACTCAGGTGCCACTCAGATCAGACTTCTGTGTACACTGTGAACCAAATCTATCCTTGTTAAGGTTACCAAGTAACCTTCATGTTGTTAAATCCAGGGGGCAGTTTTTAGCTATTATTTTACTTTATTAATCTATTTATTATTGCAAATCTATTGCATTTGCTACCATTTTTCCCCTTCTTTTTTGAGGAACTTTTTTTTTTAACTTGTCTTCCCAGACACCACACTTTCCTGTTGTTGTTTTTTTTTTTCCTGCCATTTTATTGGCCACTCCTTAGTCTCCTTAGTGTCCTGACTTCTTGTTGGAGTGTCCCAGGATTCAAGTCTTTGACCTCTTCTCTTTTCTGTCTACACCCATTCACCATCTAGTCTCCTAACTTTAGTTCCCTACTGTATGCTGATCACTCCCAGCTTTCTCCAGGAAAGACCAGTTCCCTGGATTTATTCTCATATTTCAGTTGCCTCCTTGACACTGCCATTTAAATGCCTACAGGAGATGTCACACATGACATATTTAAAATTGAACTCCAAATCATTTCCCCCAAAACCTGCTCCTCTGTAACCTATACCTCAGTAAATGGCAGGTCCATCTTTACAGCTGTTTTAGCCAAAACCCTTGGCATCATTCTTAATTCCTCTTTTTTCTCTTACTCTATTTCTATTACATCAGCAAATCCTGTCAGCTTTTCCTTCAGAATATCTCCAGAATCTGCTCACTTCTCACCGTCCCCACTGCCATCACCCTCGTCCAAGCCACCAGAATCTCTAGTCCACTGTTACAGGAGACTCCTGACTGGTTCCTTTCTTTCTACCCATGACATCTTATAGCCTGTTCACACAGAGGCAGAGTGGTTGTTCCAAAATATGGCATAACGTCACTCCTTTGCTCTCTCTACCTTGACTTGATGTTCATCTTGGAACAAAACCCAAAGTCTTTATCATATCCTTCAAGGCCCTACAGAATCTGTTCTCCAGTCTCTCTGCCAGTTAACTCTCATTTTCTCCTCTACTTATCAATCCCCTGCTTACTCATCTCCAGACACAGTGGGGTCTTTGCTCTTCCTTTTGTACACCATGAGTGTTCCTTCCTCAAGGTCAGTAACAGCAGTTCCCCCTGGATGTCCATAATGCCCACCACCTCATTTTCAAGGATTGGCTCACATGTCTCCTTTGAGGTCTTCCCCAGCCACCCTATTCGAATTGCAGTTCTTCAAAAGCCATTTCCTGATTGTTTCATGCCAATGATTTGTTTCTCTCCACAGGCATATCACCATCTGACATACTGTTCTTTCCACTCATTTGTCTTTACTCATGAGAATGTAAGCTCCATAGGAACAGGGATTATTACATATGTCCCTGTCACCCAGAACAGTGCCTGGAACATAGCAGGCACTCAGTAAGTACTTGTGGAATAAATGAATAGCTAATTTGAGCATATAAACTTAAATCTACATCTAACATAGATCTAACCAAGGTATTTCTTTTTTTTTGCACTTTTATTTTTTTATATATAAATATATTTTCTTTTTTTAATTTAAATTCAATTAATTAATATATAATGTATTATTTGTTTCAGGGGTACAGGTCTGTGATTCATCAGTCTTATATAATACCCAGTGCTCATTATAACACATACCCTTCCCAATGTCCATCACCCTGTTCCCACATCCCGCCACCCTTTCCCCTCCAGCAACCCTCAGTTTTGTCCTAAGATTAAGAATCTCTTATGGTTGTGTCTCCCTCTCTGGTTTCATCTTGTTTCATTTTTTCCTCTCTTCTCCTATGATCCTCTGCCTTGTTTTGGTAGATCTAACCAATGTATTTCTAATGTTGACTTCAAACCCTCCGTAGGACTGACTGAGGAAAATGCCACATATAACCCTGGATCAATCTGGACGTGTTAGAGTGCTGGCCTTTGCCTGTCTTTCTTCTCTGTATCCTGCTCTGGAGTTCACTAGACTGTTCTTTGTTGCAGTCATGCAGGGAATTCTTAATTGTCTGCGGGCAAATGCTTAGACTTTACCATTTAAGTACTGTATCTTTATCAACTATATTTTCATAGCACTGGCTGTTCCTTTTACATACTAGAAATAGAGGAAGTAAAATTTTTTCTTTGTGCTGCATTAAGTGCTGACCTCAGCTCCTAGTGATCACACAGACTCTTGGAATTTTATTTTTCTGGTTTAATTACTTTGTGCCTATTTGAAGCTCTTATAGTATATATTCATGTGTTCCATTTATTCTTCTGGTGTAATCCATATTGGCTTCAAATTCATGCAGAATGGCCTACTTAATATCAGAATGGTTATTTTATGTACCAGTTCTATAGATGTAAGTTCTTCCTCCAAAGAACTGCAACCAATAAGTATTGTTTCAGCAAGCAGGAGATTCTGTACTTCGTGGTTCTTGCTAACCCAGCTAAAAGACACTGAATGACGCATTTCACTTCCAGGGGCTATTGCTAGGTTTTGATAGTCCCTGGTACTATAAATAGCACTTCAGGGAACACTCAGGTACACTGGACATTTTCTTTGCAGTTCAGTTCAATGTTTGCAGAAAGAAAGTCACATGCTGTCTGGTTTGCACAAGTCCCTTGCCCCTTAGCGCCTCCCAAGTTCTAGACAGACCCACCCAGAGTGTACATTTTCTCATAAACACAGCATTTGCTTTTGGCATACTTTATGCCTTTGTTTATACTGCTTCTCTGCCTGGCAAAATCCTATTCATCCTTTAAGATTCATCTCGAGTGAGAAAGCTTTCCCTGAGTTGGCTTGGCAGAAATTTGCCCTTTTCCTCCTGTGTGGGATTCTCCACAGCACTTAGAGCATACGTCTTCTACAACAATTTCAGCATTACGTAAGAGTCTGTTAGATAAGTTTCTATGTTCATAGTCCCCCTACATCCCAAACTGAGTCCTGAGGGCTGTGACTTTCTGTATCTTTTTGTATTTACCCCTAACAGCATAGGAAACACTCAGCCATTGTTTGTTGAGTGAATTGCAGATTGTAGGAATGAATGAAATTGCATTCAGATAGGGAGATAGAATCCATCTGAGCTTGTTCCCAGTTTAATGCCTTTAAAACTAATCCTATGTTTAGTATGGATTTTTCTCTTTTCCCTAGCAGCCACTTTCTACAATGTACATGGTCAGTTTGATTCAAAATATGTTATATTTAAATACACTTCAGGGAATTAATTTTTTATTATTTATTTATTTATTTTTAGTTTCAAAGGAACAGGATAGTTTATTCCTTACAAACTTCTTGGCATCTTTCTTTCCCCATGCTCTTTTGATCTGCCCAGTCTTTAATCAAATTCTTCCAACGGGTCTGCTGTAAACAATGATTTTGTGAGCGGTTGTGTGTTCTCTGCAGTGAAAACCCGCCTTGTTTTCTGTTGCTAGGCAACCCCATTCCAGCTGCCCTTGAAGAAATGCGCGGTGGTGGGAAATGGTGGGATTCTGAAGAAGAGTGGCTGTGGCCGTCAAATAGATGAAGCAAATTTTGTCATGCGGTAAGAGAGAGCACCCACAGCGCGGCCTCTGCCTTCTCTCCTTTTCCCTACCCCTTCCACAAGCCCTGGGGCCTTTCAAAGCTAGTCACTTGTGTTTAATCAGTTGTAACTGCTCTTTAGCTTCCCTTCAAGTTCATATACAAGTGAGGGTAGGAGAGGGCCAGGGAGCAAGGGAACATGCCCCAAGAAAGTACAAAACCAGGAAGGGCTCAGATATCCTGGGGAGACTCAAAATTAGAAACACTTAGATTTTGCTTTAGATTATATAGTCGGGTGATAAAAACTTCAAAGATTGTTTATAAATAAATGTTTTCATTTATTCATTTTGCTCTACACCCTTTTCATCTTTGTTTTTACTGAAGCATTTGTGAGTAGCAAGTGGGATTTGAAGACAGATCTGATATGTGTATGGCTGGGACAACTGGAAGGAAGGTAGGGGCAGAACTTTTGAGCAGCGAGGAAGTTTGGTCAAAGGACTAAGCAGAGTGGTGACATGTATGTCACTTGAAGGGGAACACAGGAGGCTTCTGCAGGGGTATGTAAAAAACTGCTAAGATGCATCCAGCCACGGGTAGAGACCATCTACCTGTAGTGGCATCAACCTGCACTGTTGGGTGATTTTGACCAGAAGTGAAGACAGCAAGTGACTGGATTGACATGGGTTTGGGATTGTCTGGGTAAGAGGGAGGAAGGAGGGGAGTGACAACACAGAGAATCCTGGCTAGAGAGAGTATGAGGTGACATACCTTGAAGTCTGGGCTGGTTAGGAAGTGGGCTCTGAGAGGCATGAACAAGAGAGGAAGGGGCCCAAGGACGGTGTGTTTTAGTCTGCTGCCTGCATCTGACCTGGGAGTGGTAGCCTGCTGGGAACTGTTTCTCTAATTGTTTCAAACCTGTGGGGCCCAGATACACAAGTTCCCCTTGGCCCAGAGACAGGTGTTTAAGGGGCATCCCTTGTGTGTTCTGCATGCACCTGCTGGTTTAGGCAGCATGGATCCACAGGAGAGTGCCAGACTGGGACATGCCCTTCCACAGGCTTTGGCAGGGCAGGTGAGTGCTAGGATGCTGGCACATACACCTGCTGAGTTTGGCATTTTACATCTTTTAAAGGGGGGAATGGGAGCACCATTCCAGGGCAAGCAGCACCAGCAAGGTAGGAAAGTGCAAAAATGATACCAGCATCTCCATCCCTGAAGAGAGTTCCAGCAGACCCTTGCCCTTCTGGCAGATGCTTTAAGATTAGCCAATGAATTTCTTTCATATATGGTCTAGGTGCTTTTCAGCTTGCTGTTTTTGCACTGGGACCCAAGGTAATGAGCCTGGGCATGAGCCCTTTTAAGACGGGAGTCTCCGTTTCCTACAGTCCTTTGGGTCTTCTAGGTATAAGCCATGCTGGTTTTCAAAGCCAGATGTTTCAGGGCCTGTCTCTCTGGTGCAGGTCCCAAGGGTTGGGGTACATGATGTGGGGATCAAATACCTTGCTCGTTAGGGATATGCTCTGTATTTGTGAGATCCCTCCTACTTGTGGCTTGCCATGCCAGGAATAGAGTTTTTGACAAGACTATGTCTCTGCCTCTCCTACTTTCTTGATTTGGTCCTTTTATCTTTTGTTGCGGAGTTGCTATTCAGCTTATTTTCAGGTCTTCTCCAGGGCGAATTATTCTATAAGTAGCTGTAGATTTGGTGTACCAACGGGAGGAGGTCAGTTCAGGGTCTTCCTATGCCACTATATTGAACCCCTGCAAAGAATAGGACCATTTTCATAATATATTTGAATTTTTTAAAAGCCTCATTTAAGGTTTACAATATGGGAGTAATTAAGGGTTTGTTTTTTTTTAAGATTTTATTTATTTATTTGACAGAGAGAGAGACAGTGAGAGAGGGAACACAAGCAGGGGGAGTGGAGAGGGAGAAGCAGACTTCCCGCTGATCAGGGAGCCCGATGTGGGGCTTGATCCCAGGACCCTGGGATCATGACCTGAGCTGAAGGCAGACGTTTAATGACTGAGCCACCCAGGCGCCCCAATTAAGTGTTATAAATTGTTTATAAATTATTCTTATTTGACCACTTATGGTTCTACTTATAAATGGTTGCTTCACACACATTTTTTGGGTGCCCTGAGAAAATTCGGGTAGTATCATACGTTCAAGTTAAACATTTAGTGAGTACATATGATTAGAAAGCCTGTAGTATGTCTGATCTTAAGACTATAGGGTGCATGGAGAGTTACAGTGAGAACACAGATCCAAAAATAGCCTTACCTGCACACAGTGATCAAAATGTTTTTCAGTATTGGGATATAACAGTATTATAATTTTCTTTGCTTAGACATTTTCAAGTACATTTTCTTATCTTTTTTTTTTTTTTAAGATTTAATTTACTTATTTTAGAGAGAGAGAGCACAAGCAGGGGGGAGGAGGGGGTAGAGGAACAGGGAGAAGCAGACTCTGGGTGAGCAGGGAGCCCGACGCAGGGCTCGATCCCAGGGCCCTAGGATCATGTCCTGAGCTGAAGCCAAATGCTTAACCGATGGAATCACCCAGGCACCCCTCAAGTACATTTTCTAATGCTAAACATCTATTTCTTGTTTTTCAAAGTAAACATTTGCTCTATAATCCAAAGTAACACTTTAAAAAATAATATTATTGAATACAATTTATCTGGAAGGTCTGCAAGACAAAGGTAACATGCTTGCATCTTGGAGATGATTTGGGTGGCTCACGGATACAAGTGAGGGCAACATCATTTTGGTGCGGTAGAATTACGCTCAAATGTGTGTTTTACATACTTAAATATGTGTAACACTTTTAAAGTTTTTATTTAGATTCCAGTTAGTTAACATGCAGTGTAATACTAGTTTTAGGTGTGCAATATAGCCATTCAGCACTTCCAGAAACACCCAGTGCTCATCACAACAGGTTCACCCCTCAGTCCCCATCACCTGTTCAACCCATCCCCCCACCCGCCTGCCTCCTCTCTGGCAACCATCAGTTTATTCTCTATAGTTAAGAGTCTGTTTCCCAGTTTGCCTCTCTCTCTCTCTCTCTCTCTCTCTTTTTCCCTATGCTCATTTGTTTTGTCTTCTAAATTCCATATATGAGTGAAATCATATGGTATTTCTCTTTCTCGGATATATTTCACCTAGCGCAATACTCTAGCTCCATCCATGTCACTGCAAATGGCAAGATTTTATTCTTTTTGATGTCTAATATTCCGTTGTCATGGAATGACACTTATCACTTCTTTAACACTTCTTTATCCATTATATATCACTTCTTTATCCATTCATCAATCAATGGACACTTGGGCTGCTTTCCTATTTTGGCTATGGTAAATAATGCTACTATAAACATCAGAGTACATGTATCCTTTGAATTTGTGTTTTTGTGTTTTTTGGGTAAATACCTAGTAGTTCAATTGCTGGGTTGTAGGGTAGTTCTAGTTTTAACTTCTTTTTTTTTCTCAAAAAAGTTTTAAAAGATTTATTTGAGAGAGAGTGAGAGAGAGAGCACAAGTGGTGGGGGGAGGGGTAGAGGAAGAGGGAGAAGCAGACTCCCCGCTGAGAAGGGAGCTTGATACAGGACTCGATCCCAGGACCCTGGGATCATGACCTGAGCTGAACGCAGATGCTTAACCAACTAAGCTACCCAGGCGCCCTATTTTTAACTTTTTAAGGAACCTCCATACACTTTTCCAGAGTGGCTGTACCAGTTTGTATTCCTACCAACAGTGCAAGAGGGTTCCCCTTTCTGCACATCCTCACCAATACCTGTTGTTTCTTGTGTTGCTGATTTTAGCCATTCTGACAGGTGTGAGGTGATATCTCATTGTAGTTTTAATTTGTAGTTCCCTGATGATGAATGATATGCATAACATTTAAAAAGTAATTTTATGACTTTTTTCTATTTAAAGATTCCTCTTCACCAAGCCCATTCCCCTGCTACCTCTATGCCCCAATTCAAAGAATATTTATCTTTCATCAATTCTGTGATCACATCTTTTAGGATCATGAGCACAGTTACTAACACACGTTAGCCATTAATATCTGTTAATTGTGCCAGTGAGCGATAATGCAAAGTTTGAAACACTTTTAAACAATTATGCCTTATTAGAAACAATTTGTATTAAATGTGCCTTTTATATAAATCTATGTTATTATCAATTTAGGAATCGAGGAACTAAAATTACAGTGTGCTTTTTCTAAGAGCTACAAAGAAGTGTCATAGACATTTGCACTTGAAGAACTTAAGACAGATATTTACACCAAAAATGCAGTATCATTATTTTCCAGAAATGCATTTATAAAATATTATCTTAATTACTTTAAGCATTTCCTTGTGTTGTAGGATTTGACAATCAGTATCCAGAAGTTTTTCTTGAGCTTTTACTGTAATAGAAGGTATGAAGGAACCCAGGCATATGAGCTATGGATCAACCTACAAGGAACACACAGAAAAACAAAGTATTTGTTCATTAAAACTGACATGTTTCATTAATGACAAAACAGGTTGACTGCACTCTCCAGCAGTATTCAGAGGTTACAGTTTTGGTATAATGTGTTTGATTCTTGAATGTTAGGAAGGACCATCAAGATCAAAGCTTCCTTAAGACATAAATGCTCAAATTTTAGCTTATGTTTTATCCTGAAAGTCACCTTCATCTTTGCAAAGATCAGTTAAATCACAAGACCATAGTCAGCACTCCTGCCACATGAGCCTGGTTGGTAATGCTGAAGCTCACTCCCTCACAAGGGTCTTCAGAAACTACCCGGGATATGGTGTAACCACGAGACTATAGACACCTCAAGAGGAGGCCCTGTGACTTGGCTCTCCCTGCTCCCCAGACCCTTACAGTGACCACTCAATGGGCACTCAGCAAAAGTCACCAACTTGCTGACTAAATAATCTGTGGGTAGCTGCCTGAAGATCCAGTATCTCTTTACTGTAGAGCAGATGAAAGGAAGATTCCAAATCAACTGAGACAAGTTCCACCCAAGATGCCCTGATGTGGTAGGAGTCACAGGACAAATACAAGACAACATCAAGGAACTTGAGCTGATCAGCTGAGTGGTGCATGGACAATTCCATGTCCTGGGGAAATTTGTAGGGTAAATTTAATAGTTAAGGGATGGCAGAGACCTTAATGTTTGTATCTCTTTACCTACAAATAAATGATGTTTTAGTTTAAGTAGTCAAGAGTTAGAGATGCTCTGATATGGTAAGAGTCAAGTTAGAGCTAGGGGTGGAGGGGAGAAATTAGGACAGAGTAATAAAAGAAAACCTAATGGGAACTACAGACTCATTTAGGGTCTTCATAAAAAGTATATATTTGATTACAGATATATTTCTGATACACGATATTTTTGAGTTTTTACTATGTGTGAGGTATCAAGGTAGGGACTTTTTATACATTTCTTACTGTAATCCTTACAACAACCTCATTTAAGAAAAGTTATTATCCTCATTTTGTGTCATGAGGAAACCAAGGCCAGGCAGATGAATTAACTTGCCTGAAGTTCCAAGGGCAGAAAGCCATGGGATTTGGATTTGTAGTTGCCATATTTTCCATTGTAAACATTCATAAGACATTGTGGCCAAGGAAAGCAATTGGCGCTGGGGTGGTTGTGTGTGTGTGTATGTGTGAGAGAGGGGAGTTATTTTTGTCACCAGGAAAACATCACCTGTACTCTTTCCCTTGGCTGAACTGGGACAGTGGAGAATCAATGCATTTCTTTAGATAACAAATCATTGTGTTTCACCAGTACATTTCAACCCATACATTGATCATGTACACAGAAGTTGGACATGCATTGATTTAGGTGGCAGAGTTTGCTCTGAATGTACTGTTATAATTTAGAATTTGGGAACAGAAAGAAAACCACAAGCAAATACAATTCTTCCCTGTGTCTTGAAGTTTCTGGGTATACAGAGAACACTGCAAGCCCTGTGTCCTTGTGTACCACACCCTCCTGAGCTCTAGTTTCAAGCCTAATACTTCCTGTCCTACCACCCCCAAAATATTTTGAATGGAATAAATTCATTCTAGTTAATGTCTCCTTTTTAATAGATTACTTAACTCTCTAGTTGACATTTTCCTCTAAAACAGAACTCGTTTTTATGACTGTGTTTTGAAGATGGTTATAGTTAATCATCTAATGACTGTTAAAAGGGAGAGGTGATAAAAATGATTGTGAGTTGAGCTAGATCTAATAAAATTCCTATTTGTCATGATAACTGACTTGATTTAAAAGTTTGTAAATCATTCTAAAATGTTTTGTTTCTCTAGATGCAATCTTCCTCCTTTGTCAAGTGAATACACTAAAGATGTTGGATCCAAAAGTCATTTAGTGACAGCTAACCCCAGCATAATTCGGCAAAGGTAAGAGTTTATGACTTCTGTTTGTGAGGAACTAAAGAGGAAGGCCTTTGAAGTATTTAACATCTTAAGGCAATGAACATAATTCAGTTTGAGAAACAAAGAAGAAAACCATCTGGACAGGCAGGAAGGATGAAGGAGGGAATTGTAAATAAACTTAGCAGGATTATGGGAATCTAAACACTATTTTATGCTTCTTCTGGGATTCTGTTTCTTGCCTTTAGAGATGGTAGAAATAACATGAGAATCCATTGTTTTACTCAAAGAAGCAATACAATCACCTGCTTACTCATATCTACTACTTTCTAACGTGTTGGCTTTAGTCCCAACTCATTGATTGGCATTGATTGGTAAACTGAATTAATATTAGTTTTGTTAAAGAATAAAAAAAAGAAATGACCCATCTACTGCATATGTATGCATGAAAATAGCAAAATCGTCAGAATATACAGGAATGATATACAGGAAGGATGATATTACATTACCTTATATTGCGTTCAATCAGATTTGGGAAAGCAGATGGAAAATTCTTGCTCCCAAATCAGTTCTGGAGATCTTAGACAGCTGCTGTGGAAGCTTTTGGGGGTTGGTCTCCAGTTGACAAAGCCCATCAATAAACTATGGGTTGTTTCTCCAAGGATTGCTCATTGTAGAGAATGACTCAATCTCTGTGAAAAGAGAAGTGAAACATTGCCTTACACTCTCCTGCATAGCTAGCAATTAAGACTGAAATACCTAGATGTTGTGGGCTCAGGCACTTGTCATCTAAGGGAATCGTATCCAAGTGACCAGCACATGTGTGTCACTTTATAAGCAATGTTGCACTACTCATTTTGGTTCATGAGTAAGCATTCCCATATAATAGATGTCTAGAAATACAACCAAACAGTTCTTAATTTTGGCAGATACTGTGAAATCACCTCTCCAAAATGTACCATTTTACTTTCTCTTTTGTAAAGGATAAGACTGCCTGTTTCCCAATACTAAAAACAACATTATGTACTATTAATCTTTTAAATTTTTGGCAATTTGTTGGGGGAGAGATGATATATTATTTTTTACTTAATATGCATTTCTTTTTTCTGAATACAGCAAGGGCTGAGTGAATATTGACTGTTAGTATTTTCTCTGTGAATTGCCTTCTTGTATTTTTTTGCTCATTTTGTGCTATTTTTCTTTTTAAAAAATATTTTCCTGTTGGTTTATAGGAACTGTTTATATTATAGATATGTTTGCTGTATATGTAGCAAATATTTTCTTCCAGCCTATCATTGATCTTTTAACTGATGTCCTTTCAAAATTTAATATGTTTTATGCAATGAAATTTGTTAGTCTTTTCCTTTATGGCTTCTTTAAAAAAAAAACAATCTTTCTTTGGATGATCTTCCTTACCCACATCCCTTCTGTTGAAAAAATTATTGTCCTGTATTTTTCTAGTGCATTTATAGTTTCATTTTTCATGTTTAAGAAATTTAACCCAGGGGCGCCGGGGTGGCTCAGCTGGTTGAGCGTCCAACTCTTGATTTCAGCTCAGGTCATGATCTCGGGGTTGTGAGATTGAGCCCCACATCGGGCTCTGAGCTCAGCACGGAGTCTGCTTGAGATTCTCTCTCTCCCTCTGCCTCTACCCCACCCCCTGCTTGTACACACTCTCTCTCTCAAAATAAATAAATAACATCTTTTTTTTTAAAGATGTTATTTATTTATTTGACAGAGAGAGAGACACACAGTGAGAGAGGGAACACAAACAGGGGGAATGGGAGAGGGAGAAGCAGGCTTCCCGCGGAGCAGGGAGCCCGATGCGGTGCTCGATCCCAGGACCCTGGGATCATGACCTGAGCAGAAGGCAGACACTTAATGACTGAGCCACCCAGGTGCCCCATAAAATCTTTAAAGAAAATTATTTTAAAAATCCATTGTTATTTCCTTGATCATTTTTAAGTTATCTAATTTTTTTGGCATAAGCTTAAATTGTCACCAAGTATGTACTTTCAGTGTATTCTATATTGTGCATATGCTTTAAATATATATTGCCAAAATCTCAAAAGTGCAGATTTAGCTCCTTGGATGTTACACGTCCTCAGTGTTCTTTGTCAAAGTAACTCGTAAGTTGAGCTTTCTGGCAGAAAAAGGCTGACCACCTTTTAATTCAAGTAAGTGTTAAAATCTGACCCATATAATCATCTTACTTCTGAATTCTAATTATTCAACATATAAGTAAGGTATGGGAGTTGCCAAGAGTTTATCCCCTGGATAAAATGAGGTATAACCTCTTTGTATTTCTTATAAGGATCTTTTTGCTTTTTCTCAAGGGACACTCCCTTAGACACTGTGTATCTTGGAAATGTTTTTTTGCTGGCCGGAGTGGTTTTTACACTCTGGGACAATGCGTCATTGTAACATTTGGGTGGTAGGAGGTATGCCTTTTGTGAAGTGGAGGAGGGAAAATTATGGAAGTAGAGTCTGGAAAAGAGATAGTTGCCTAGACTGTCAGATTAGGCTTCAGCAAGTAAGTTTTAGAAAAGTATGTAAGTGGAAGTTGAGGATTTGGAAGTTTTGAGGGGAGAGGGAAACAACAATGGAAGCTTCATAAGGACAGTGTTGCCAAGGTGGTCATTCAACAATACTTTTTGAAATCTGCTCTGGGACAAGGAATACTAACTTGAATGAGACACAACTGAAATTCACACCCTGAGGTTGCTCACAGTCAGCAGACATTCCCGTGGTCCTATTGAATGGTCTATACCAGGGTCTTGGGGGTTCCCTGCACCACTTCTGAAATTTATAGAAAAATTTCATACATGTGCATGTATTTTTTTTTATCAGATTTTCTATGGGTTCCATTACTCACAAATGTTTAAAATTTACTGGCCGATCCTGAGTCATTCTACAGTAGCATGATGTAAAAATAGAGATGAGAGTTCTCAAAGCTTGCTTTCAAAGAGTTTTTCAGTAGAGTTGAAAACTCAGCCATTTGCCCATACCAGGAGTTCAGTATATATTGGAGCAAATGATTGTTAAAGATAAAAACTGAAACTTAATTGATTGTCCTATTGTAACATTAAGAATTCATTTTTATACTTTGAGGCCCCAACTTGGGAAATGATTATTTGCTGCCACTAGCAAAGAGCAGCAGGATCCTGAGTGTGTGTTTCCATGTAAGCGTATTAGGGGTGTTAGTATAGGTGTGAGCAGCTTGGGGTCAAGACTCTTTCATCTGTATTCCTGAGACCCCAGCATGTTGTTTGGCATACAAGACGTGCAGACCAAATGTTTATGGAATGAATGAATAAGTGAATAAATATATTTTAAAATCTCCTTTAAACCAAATTTTACAAACCAAATTTGAATGATGTGGTTTGAATCATTGAATCATTTGAATCACCTTATAAAAGGAGATTTTTTTTTTCCTTTGGTGTCAGTTAAAATATTTATGGTCTTAAGATGAGGAGATGACTTTTTTAGTAACAGGTATTTCAAAATAGTGTTAGTGGAATACTCAGGTGGGAAAACTTATTTACTCTTTTTTTTTTTTTTAAGTTGACATGAATTAGGAAACAAAAGTTTTTAGGACAAATGGAGTGTAAATCAATGGTGGAATTAACATTTTAAAATTTGTAAATGCATAACTTTTAATTCATTAGGATGATATGAAACCCCTGTATTTATGTTGAGGTTCTTAATATCAAATAGGGCCTGGGTAATCTCTTCCCATACAATTGGAACAGACTTCATCCAATGATTATTGCCTCTGATTTTGCTAAAGACAACTGGGACTTGTAGCGATATTAGCAGGGAGAACAATTATTTTATTTATGTACTTTAAAAAATAATTTGAGAATTCAGGAAAATAACTTTGATCTAAAGAAGATTATAGCAGTTTCTCTTTAAAATTCTATATGACTCACGTCTCAGACTGTGTTCCTAAAACTTCTGTATCTGTTCTGCTGGATGACTTCTTTTTCTTTTCTCTCCAAACTCAGAGCAGCTTATCAGTGTTTACATCAAGGCTTGGCATTCATTGATAGCCGTTCAGTCTAACGTCTGTCATGATATAAGAGAATTAAAAAGCAGATACTAAAACTGGAACTAGGGGGAGCAAGTAAAAGATGGGGAAGAGATGCCTCTAAAAAGGTACAGATCTTCATGAATTTGTGTCTGAGAGACAATATTACGTAGTGGTGAGGAACACAAGTTTGGCTTTAAATGGATTTGTGTTCAAATTCTGGTGCCAGTACTAATGTGCTTCTACTTACTGGCTGTGTAACATTAGTTTCTTAACCTCCCATCTGTCAAGTGAGAATAAAATTGCCTTGAGGATTGCTGAGAAATATAAATGAGATAATATAACTGTGTCCAGTAGAAGCTATTCTGACTGACATCCAGCATCGCTACCCGAGAGGATTCTCCTTTTGGAATACATTTTGTTCTTGGATAAAACATATTTTCAAATGTATTATTGGGCTTATCAAATTCAGGGAATCTCCTAGGGTATCTTCACACTTCTCCCCCAAACTAAAAAAAAACCTAAAAAACAGAAAATCAGGGAACTAAAGCCAACCGTGAGATATAAAACTCTGATCTCAATGCTAAGATCAGGAGACCAAATCCAGGACCTACCATACTAATGTATGTCCCATTTTAAGCCCTGATAAGGGACCTAATGTAGTCTCATGTCATTAGCAGCCCCTGGTTTCTAACAGAAGCACAAATTTCTCCTGGAGGAAACCTAAGAATTTCCATATATCACTTTCAAACAAATAATAAGCTCATAAACAAACACTGAAATGCACACCAGCCATTGATACTGAGAGTCCTCAGAGACAAAAAGCAAATGAAAAGTTACAGATATAAATGCCTGAGAATGTACTGGAATTGTCAGATGTATATAACTAAGTATGAAATCTTTATAAGAAAAAAATAAATCGAGTAAGTCAATAAGAGAATATAAAAATTATCTAGGTAACCTTGAACGAGAACCAAGTAGAACTTTTAGAAATGAA